AAATCCCCTACCTTGAATCAAAGTTTCAAACCAAAAACCCAAGCTCTAATGACCTCCTTTCTCCCTTTCCTCCTTTCCTCTATCTTCCCCAAGGGTGCTAAGGGGTTTGGGGGTGAGAGATGTGAGAAAAAATGGAAGAAATTGGCTGGATTCTGTGTTTTAAACACAGCAGTCTGCGACAAATCACTGTTCATGGCTGAATTTTGAGTTTTTTTCCAAAATTACAGTTTTGCCACTAGAAATCTCCAATTTGATCCATACGACTACCCTAAGGTTTTTCGACGTTCCGGATTCATTTTTAATGTTATTTTAACCTAAAAACATTGCTTTTTATGATTTATTTCAAAACTAAAATAAATTCACACTTGGAACATTAAAATTTCTATTTTATTCCTTCGAACTACTATAGGTGATATCCTTACGATTTTAATATATATATGATTTATTCTTAAGTCATTACATATAGAAGAATCACTAAACAAGTACATTAATATATTAATGTAAACATATGGGGTTTTACACCTTCAAGGTCTAATAAGAAAGCACAACCCTTTAATATCCAAGGAGCACCATAGTGCAGATTTTTGGTCAACTTCATAGAATAAACTGATTTGACTCAGGTATTTCTAGGAGGTGTAACCTATATGGTTGGAAAGATATATGAGTTAGGGTTCTAACAAAAATAACGGTGCACAATTCGGACTTTCCAATAAAGAGTTATGATGAAATTAGCGAAAGGTAGTCTGCCGGACAGATTTTTGGGACAGTGTAGACACTATTTCGTAATATGGACATAACTCCTTCCTCCTAGTTCCGATTGAGATGATTCAAGGTGATATGGAATCCTAAGAGAGAGCTCTACAAATTTCATGTTTTAAGTTTTGAGAGATATGGACTGCATCAAGGTCGAAATCGAGCTTGATGTTACAGCCAGTGCACTGTTCATCCCTTTTTCATTCTACCAAATTCAAACACACATCACTACACATATCCCCATTTTTACAACAATTATTTACTATATATATATACACATATATAAAAGAAAATGCGGGGTGTTACAATACTTAAAGTAGGTTTTACTTGCAATAAATTACCAAGGTTCTCTTTAGTTCGGGGATTAGAACATGTGTGCCATCACTTGAGTTTATGATAGTGCCATCATACTACTTTTAACTAATGTGTCAACGCTAAGTCAATCGGAGGGCTTTTATATGTCAAACCATAAAACAACAACCATTAGGCTAACCAAAAGGTCTATACACCATACAACAACCAATTACCCAAGCAAACTCAAAGGTGCAGATAACCATTCAAAATTTTAATTTGGAATTGATTAAGAGGTCTATAATTTGATGAAGTACATAGCTTTGATTAATGCTTGGAATCAAAAACATTAGATATGGCAAGGCTTAACCCCTCTATACCTAATCCCTCGATCTTCACATAATGCCCAGCTTAGTAAGTCATTAAATAATGCATTAAAGTACATAAAATGTTAAATATAGAATGGAAATGAAAATGAAACCTAGCTCGGTATTTGCATAGACCATGAGCATAACCCAAGTTATACAATAGTATACAAAGTACAAAACATTAAAGAAAGTACCATCCATCATTTAAGGGAGGTATAAAACAATAAAGCATGAAATTGCACTTTCATTTCTCAAGCAATATTATACAAGTCTTCACCACTCACTAAAGAGCAAATAAGAAACTACCCACTCTTCATGGATATGGACAAGCTAGAAAAGTGGAAGAACCTCATTCCTCCAAGTGAGATACAATCTTCAAAATATTAAAGTAAAAAGACTAAAACTCTTCCCCAAGGTGTAATTGAAACACCCCCAATCTTCTTAATCAAGGAAAGAATATAAAAAGTGAGAAAGGTTCAACCCTCCAAGTAGAAAGAGCAACTAAAGAAATGTAGTAAAAGATGATTTCTTCTAAGTAAAAGTGCATGAACAAAACTAGGAGGGGAGGATATTTATAGAACTTCATGGGTGGTAGCTGGTTGCAGAATGGACTAATAGGGGCAAGCTTTTGTTGATTTGAGGGAGAAGCAGAGAGCAAGACTGTAAAATCCCGGTAGATTTAAACTTTTATGAATAAAGGGTAAAATGGTAAATTGTCACCATGATTCGGGTTGTAAATCTGAAATTTTTTGTAACTCGGATGACAAAACGGACCTCACCGTTGGATTCGTCTCGCGAAATCGAGTTACCACGTCAATTTTCGTCGAATTCTGAGATAGTCAAATTTTTCACGTTTTACGGAGCGATCGGGCTTGGGTGACCCTGTACACGAATTTTTTTATAAAATTTTAAATTTTGGGCAATAAAATAAGATAAATTGAAATAAAAATATTTTAGATTTAAACCGGGGCGAGATTTAATTGTTCGGGACAAAAACGGACCCGGAATTAAAAATGGACATGTGGCCAATTGTGGGCCAAGTGTTCTAAAGTATAAATAGGGGGAAAAATCAGATTTTTCCCCCATTGTTCAGCACCCACTTCAGCCGATAGAAAAGAGAGGGAAAGGAGAGGGAAAGCTTCAACTTCTCTCTATGATCTACATAATTCTAGTGCTCAAATCCGCTTGGACCAAGAACAAAGATCGTTCTCCTCGTCAAGGGCTACGTCTACGTACCAAAAGGAAGTGATTTCACCGAATAATCAAAGGAAGAATTTTTGGAGATCAAAGCTTTTGGGTTGGTTTTGGTGTTTTAGGGGTTTTCTACACTCCTAAGAGGTAGGGGCTATTCCTACTTTGGATTATTCTTACCTTAGGTGTTGCTAGACTAAGGGTGAAAATTATGTATATGCATATGTATTGTTATACATATATGTCTATGGGTATGAAAGTGAAAAAAAATTAGCATAGGAATAGCTTAGGCTAGCTTCTAGCTTGAATTTGGTATATGGAGGTTCCATGTGATTATTTTGTAACTTGGTGAAAACTTAAGGCATGCTATGTGTTTTATAAACTATGCCTTGGAATGTGTTATGTGAATACATGACTCGAATGACTATAAGATGTTTGATAAAATGCCCTAGTGAAATTGAGTGTGTTACTTGCATGATGCTATGTTATAACATGCTTGAGTGATTGTGAAATCATATGCTTAGGATATGGTTTTTGGATGAAGAGTGTTATTGACATATGCATGAAATGATATATTGAGCATAATGAGATATGGTAGTTATATACTTATGATACAATTGCATTGATGTATGAAAATGTTTATATGTTTGTCATAAGCATATTGAGCATTTTTTGTGTGCAATGGAACATCACATTGCATTTGCACGGAAGTGTCTCATTACATGAGTGAGTGCATGGTTGACGTCAATACCACACTTGGTGATTGACGGAAGGCTTGGGAGAGTTGGGTCGAGGACTTAGCTAAGCCGCTTGGTTGCATGATGAATTGGGTTGGGGTAGCAAGAAGAGGCATGACGACCTCTCGGGTGCAAGACCCGGTGATTGGGCTACGCACTCCCTTCGCTCGGCCCATAAAGTGTGTGGGTGTATTCGGAACCCTCGGTCGAAGTCCGTAAATTTCGTGTGGGTTGGAGGCCCTTGGTGTAAGTCCATGAACATCCACCCCTATACAAGACCCTAGAGTGATTAACGCCATTGTGTGTAACATAAATGGTGGTTTCGACTAAATTGCCACTTGCATGTGTTGGGGAGCCGGAGAGAGCTCGGAATAAAGTTGCATGGGTGAGTGTCACTTCATTCCATGGCATAGCATTGTTGCATTCCATCATAGGATGCATAAGTGTGAGAAATGCTTGGTTGTGTGTTTGTGTGATGATTACATGAGCATGTGCATCTAGGGGAAGAGTAACCTCTATAGGTTTATCTCTATTGGGCGTTGTGCTCACCCTATACGGGAAACAATTTCAGGTACGGGACACGTTCCTGTGGATGGCTCTCATTCGGGGGCTCTTGGTTGAAGAAAAGCCGGGTTGTGGCTTTTGAATTTAGTTTTTGTAAAACTTTTGGTTAATTTCCATTTTGGCATGTAAAAGTATGGAAATAGTTGTATTAGAACTTGTATTGACTATATTTGGTATCAAATAGATGTTGTATAAGTTTTGGATAACCTTGGATTGGTTTGGATTGGTTTTGGAATGGATTGATTTGGGGTTGAAATCATACACAGTTTACACAGAAATTTCAGACACTGCTTAGTGTTTGAGCCATAACTTTTTATTGTGACGTCCAAATGATCTGAAATTTTTACAGTAGGTAGTAGACACCTAGGGCTACAAAAGTGTTTTTATGAAATTTTCTCAATTCCACTTCTAAACAGGTCAAAACCGCACTGGAAGTTGCAGCAGAACAGAAACTGCATTTTCTGTTCGAACGTAAAGTGACGTTCGAATGGTGCGAGTTTTGAACAGCAAAACCAGCAGAGAACCAAATGTACTGGGAGCTACCTATTTTTCAAAACCAAGGGACGTTCGAATGTGAATAGTGCTGTTCGAACGGTGACTCTAAAACCGAAATTTTTCAAACTATGCACTAAGCTTCCAGGCTTGGATTTCTTTGATTTAAAGAACACCAATGGACTTGGATTTCTCTAGTTCCAAGGATACAAATGGACACTAATTGAGGTATATTGAGGCTTATTAGACCTTGGTGGATTTAAATGATAACTATTACATATATGCACTAATGTTAAAGTAACCTTGCATGTTTTGCTATAAATATGGATAATTGGACCCGGTGTGGTCAATGTTTACTTATAAATGGACCCGGTGCGGTCATTGTTTATATTGGGCCTCAGATGGGTCATGTGAGTTATGTTGCACAGGTTGGGTATTGGGTAGAGTTCCCTGTACAAAGGAGACTCTGACCAAATTTTGTTAAGTTATGGACCTCGGTAAATGGGACATAACGGTGTGATATCGAGTCACTCGTATTTACGGGTATTCCGCGGGTTGATGGGTAATCAACGGACCCCGGATTTTGGGGTGTCACAAAGACGGTTTATACTATTCGGATGCTAGCTGCCACTATCCAAATGGTGGTGATCTTCTGGAAGTCCTCTTTGTTTAACTGTTTATCTTGGAATTTGAGCCTGCTGCTGCATTTGGATGGTGGCAACTTCCTTGAAACTTTCCACCTTTTTTCTCTGCGGTCCTTTAGCTTTTTGATTTCACTCCCTTGACCTTGTAATTTCAAAATATTAACATTCCATCTATTATAATAATATAACCTACTTTTAACTTAGTAATTTATTTAATTAATATAATTAACCCTTAAATATTTATTGAAATTGTAGCTTTTTAGGTCTAATCATACCCCTAACCTACACATTACTAGTCCCTAATAATACAATAAATAGAACACAACCATTTTCATAGGTTTCACGACTGCATTTAGCCCAATCAACAAGCCTTTAAACTCCTACATCACCCTAGTGGACGAGTTATGTGTCGTGAAGGTTTGTAGTGAATGTACCTACAAACTTCAATGGTTAGGATAAAATATTACATGTTTTTCACAAGTAAGATTATAACAACATTTCATTTTAACCCTTAGATATTTCCTATCCAACTTATTCTAAGAATAACACACTCTACTTCTGTAACTGTTCACCATATTTTTATGAATTTTTTTTTTGTTTGTGTGAGTTGTCATGCTTCATTATTTCAAAAATTTGGGGAATAACACTGCTCTTCTTGCGGCATCTAAAAATTTGCCTTAATGTCAATCCTTTCCTGGAAATCACTCAGCAAATAATACACTCACACTTATGTGACTTGTCACTCAAAATTTACATTGGATAAGAATATTGTAAATCAAAGCAAAGCATTTCACATGTAAAGATTCAAAAGACGATTTTTGAATAAAATTAGATTTTGGCATAATCTCATGAAGGAATATCAATACTAAAATAAAGCAATATCATCAAAAATCCCCCATGCATTAGGTGAGAAAGAATCACACATGTGTGTATGTCTTGGAATCAAAAAGAGCTTCCTTAAGGTTATAACGTGGCTAGGGGTAAGTGGGTAATGAAATGATGGATATAAGTAGTTCAAAAAGCTATCCAATTATACTTCAATTATGCACATAGTCTCCTTTTATTTTTCTTCACTTTGCCCTTTTAGGAATAGGCTCAATCTTCCCCTTTTTTTTCCAAAAATTTGCACAAAACTTGATTTGTTTTCTTTCTTTGTAAAATTATTTTCTTGCTTCATTCATTTTTGTTTCTCAAAACCCATTCTTTTTTTTTTCTTTCTTTTTCTTTTCTCTAACCTCTTTCTTTCTTTTCTTATATTCTCCATATAATCCTCTTTTAAGAGAGTGTGCAAAAAATTTAGATAGCCAAGGTAGGTTTAACTTATTTTTTCATAGGCTCGGTTAAAAACATGGCCTAAAGAAATGAATTTTTCATTTTAAGGCTCAAACATAGATGAATCAGGATATAATTTTGCAAAAGAAATGGACAAGGCCTTAAATAATATCACAAATGGCCTAAGATCATTTCCTAGAATGTAACCTGTGTATAACTCTCATATGAATTTGCAAGGGAGATTGTCAACATATTACTCAACAAGTGATAACCAAATCAAAGATAATGAGATTATTGAAGGAGTTAAAGCTAAATTGAAATTCTTACTTGAGTAAATATTCAAAAATCTCTCCAAAGAAGATAGGCACAAATTCTCCACATGGTATCTACATCTCCACAATGTATGTAAGCTTCTAAAGAACTATGTTATTTCAAAATTTTTTTGAAGAATAGCAAAACATAGTGTGCATAAAATGTTAAGTTTCTCATAAAAATATAGGAATAGTAAACAAATATAGCATGGAATTCCCGGATGAGCTATATAGGGTTATACTTGCAAGTAGATAGAATGCAAAAATAATCTCAATGTGATTTGCATCTAACATGCTACCCTAAAATAGCAATTTCAGATATAATATATCTCAAGATAAACCACTGCAATGTTGAAAAACAAATTATGTAAAACCCGGGTAAATTTAAACTTTTTGTACAAAGGAGCAAAATGGTAATTTGCCACTACGGTGCGGGGTACAAACCTGAATTTTTCTAGATCTCAGATGATGAAATGGACCTCACCATTGAATTCGTCTCATGAAATCTAGTTACCTTGTTAATTTTCGTCAAATTCCGAGATAGTCAAATTTTTTTACGTTTGACGAGGTAATCGGGCCTCGGGTGACCCTAGGACGAAATTTTTAAATAAAATTGTGAAGGTTTGGAAATAATTAAAGGCGAGTTAAAAAAATATTTTGAACTTGAACCGGGATGAAATCTAATCGTTTCAGAATGAAAACTGATCCAAGAAATAAAGGGTCGTGTGGCTCATTGTAGGTCAAGTATTTAAAGGGTATAAATTGGGGGAAAAGTTGATTTCTCTCCCATTTTCTTCAGCCGGTTATACATGGGATGGGAAGAGAGGGAAAGAGCTTGGATTCATCACCTTCTCTCTACGATCTATGGAGATTGAGTGCTCCAATCCACTCGACCCCAAGAACAAAAGTTGTTCTCGCCGAGAGCTATAAAACCATACCAAGGAGGTCGAGTTTTACCGAAAATCAAAGAACAGGATTTGGGCTAAAATTGGGTTCTTGGAACCTCCTACCGGAGTTCTCCACGCTTCAAGAAGTAGGGCTCCCTCCTACTTAGGTGTATTTCAAACCTAGGATGTTTATATGAAATGGGTAGGTTGATAGATTTAAATATCACTTGTCTATTGTTGGTGGTTTGGTGAAATGGGTATAGGAAAGGAGTAGGGCAAACTCTATCTTGAACTTGAGTATATGGGAATAACATAGTGAAATTTCTTTGAGAAGTGTGATATGTGGGCATGCTATGTGTTTACATTATGCTCTAATGAATTCAAAATATTGATAGCATGATTGTATGATAACATGCTTGAAAGTGATGTTGTGAAAATAGTTGATGTATATACACATACTTGTGATATATTGGAATTGATGGATTATGGAAATTATATGTTTAGAATAAAATTATCCATGGTATGTATTGAGATTGTTCATATGTCATCCATAGCATATCGAGCATCGTATTATTGTTGAAATGAGGCATCACAATGCATATGCATGGGTACATCGCACTATATGGGTGTGTGTGTGTGCATGGTTGTTTTTCAATGCCATGCTCGGTGGATGACTGGTGAGCTCGAGTAGGCTTGGTCGAAGACCTGGCCGAGTGTCACGGATTACATGATGATTAGGGTTGGGGTTAGCAAGAAGGGCTAGAAGGTCCCTCGGGTGCAAGGCTCGGTGATGGGATATGCACTCCCTTGGTTCAATCCATGAAGTGTGTAGGTGTATGCAGAACCCTCGGTGGAAGTCCGTAAATTTTGTGTAGGTTGCGTGACCTTTGGTGTGAGTCCATAAACATCCACTGCTACAAAGACCCTAGATTAGTGAATGTCATTTGATGTGCAACATAAATGACAAATTTGCGCACATTAGCACTTGCATGTGTTGAGGAGTTGGGAAGGGCTCAGGGTTGATGTGCATGAGTGAGTCTCATCTCATTCCATGACATGATATCTTAATTTCCAACATTAGAGGAATATTCTTGCTTGGAATGTTATGAAATTGTGGATTATTAGCATGCGAACATTTCATATGCATTTAGGTTGAGGAGTAGCCTATCTAGGAGATACTCTATTGAGTGTAGCTCACTTTTCGTGGGAAAACATTTTACGTAGGGGGTACATACCAGCGGATGGCTCCCATTTGGAGCCTCAAGGATGAAGAAAGTCAATTTGTGGCTTTTATAGTTCATTTTGTAAATTTTTATGAAAATTCTATTTTGATGTGTAAATGTGTGGAATTGTATGTAATAGAACTAGCATGGATCATGTTTTATGTGAAAAACCTTACTAAGCATGTTTGAGATGTTTGTGGGAAGGTTTGGAATGAATTGGAAATGAAAAATAGGTAAAATAGATAATTATGGGCAAAACCTGTTGGAAGGTTGCAACAAACCTTCTGGAAGGTTTGGACAAAGACAAGAAAAAATTGTTGAATAGTGGGTGAACCTTTCGGAAGGTCGATTCAAACCTTCCGAAAGGTCTTCACATTTTTCTAAAATGAGGAAATCCAGTGTGTAACTTCTTCTAGAAGGTTGAACACACATTCCGGAAGGGCAAAACATCTTTCTTAAAGATAGGATTCTAGTATGCTCGATCTTCCAGAAGGTCGAGGAAAACTTCCAAAAGGTTTTCCAAAAATTTGAAATTGTTAAGAATGCTTTGCCATTCTTTTGGGCCATGTGTCCTTTTATTTAAATGATGTAAATAGACTATAATGGAGAATAAATTGAGGTATTTTGGACCTTGGTTGGGGTCAAGTGATAAAATGCATGCGGGTTGCACATGTGGGTTGCAATCCCAACTAAGGGGAGGCTATTGATGCGATGTCGATTGTGCAATAATCACGGGTATTTCCTTGGGTTGATGAATTATCAACGGTTGATAAAGGACCTCGATTTTAGGGGTGTCACACATTCCTACTTAATATCCAAAATATATTCAAAACTAATAGAAATTTGAAACTAACAACAATATGAAGCTAATCCAAATCCAAATCCAAATCCAAAAACAACTAAATAATCCAAAATACAAAATTATTGTAGCATGCAAAAAGTAAACTGTCTATGGGGAGGGAGGGAGATAGAGAGTAGAAGGGGTTAAAAGAACTAGGCAAAGCCTATGCTGAAGATGATGGTCCTTAACTCTCCTTATTAGGCGGCTGAGAGTTTCCTTCTAAGTTACTTGAATCTTCTGCTGACATGAATGCTAATCCTCTCCTTTAACTGTAGTATTTATCCTACAAATAAAACGTAATCATTACTTTCTTATTAATTAAAGACAAAATAACATAGTAGAAGTCCTAATTTACTCATATAACACTCCTATTTATAAATATTTTAAAATAATACACCAAAATAACATAAAAATTTATACACCTAAAATGTTATGTACAATTTTGCTCATGACAAAAGAGAGATTTTAATCCGATTCTTCTAAAGGCGAGGAATTGGTGAATTGACCAATCTCATGCTGCATATATCTTGTAAATATTGGACTGGAATAAGATGACATCTTAAGAAATTCTTGCTTTGCCCATACTTATTCTAATCGAAACGATCAAG